CTTCGCATTCCATTCCTGGTCCGGACCACAGCTCTCTCAAAAACTGCCAGGTACACTGAAGAAGCATGAGGGAGTGGTTTAGCTCATTGTGTACGGGACAGTACACTATTCAACCAAGAATAAGAAGCTATCACCATTACGCGCTTGGCATGGACGTAAATGACCTAGACGTGGTAACGCAACCTCCTATCTTGTGAGTTTTCGTCACTGCGGTGATAAAAACTCCACGCAATCAACAACAGAATAAAATGAATCACTCTTTCGTCATTCCGTCGCTATCAGCTTATCGCCACAAATGATGCACTCATGTCGCTGACAGAATCGCGGCTGCACCTTGCTGAAACGAAGGTGTGGCTTTACTATCCACGTTCGTTCCTGGGCTCTTACACCGAGCTCCACATACTTTTTTCTTCTACTTAATTGTGACTCTGAGATACATTACAGAAGTATTTCTGGCAAGAGAGAAAACTAGCCAGCGTCGAAATTCGTCATATGAAACTGGTGAGTCATTCAGAATTCTAAATGGAGAGAAGAAACAAAAAGCATTAAAAAAAGTTTCTCTTCTATTTGTTCTACTTGAGCAATATAGTAGTGAGTCATACAGTAAGATATCTGCTACTTCTGGGGCGGTAAACTCGCCAAACACAAAGTTGGAGCCGAAAGTGCAAGGAGCGCGCCGACTGGACGTCGGCGAAAACAGCGTGAAGTCATCGTCGTGATAAACCAATCGGTGCGCTCCGTCAACTTCAGCCCCAACTTTGTGTTTGACGAGTTTAGAGGCCCTGCTGTAGCACACTTCTATCGTTTTGCCTTGAACACCGCCCTCAAGGCGGCCATCATGCGCGTTGCGCCGTGACGTCAACCGGAATCTATACAATGCACTGATAAGATACCACGGGGCAGCCAAGGAGCAGCGCCAGCAGTCGAATGGGCGCGGTTATCCAGCAGTGCATTTAGATAACAGGCAGCGCATCGAAGTCTTTGGTTGGTAGTCAGGAGAGCACTTTACTATACGAGAGTTTCGTGATGCGCTGTAAGAAGCGCAAAAGCTCCATGTCGCGGTGCTTAGGGAGTGTTTTTCGTGCGCCAGTATCTCCTGCACCGAATCAAGCGAACGCAAAATAAAACTTGTCCTTGCTATGGTGGCACCGAAATGGTAACTCGAATATTATGTGACTTTTCGCTTTATGAAACTGAAAGAGAACTTTGAAATATGCGTAATAATCTGTTATAGTCGGTGGCAGATTAAGAGTAAAGTGTAAGCTTCTCCCACCTTTCTTCACTTTAGCAGAGCGAACGCTGGAGAGGAGGCCGCATGCCCTGCAGCGTTCGCCCTGCCAAAGTGAAAAAAAAAAAGTGGGAGGAGCTTCTACTTTACTCTTAACCTGTCACCGACTATTGAACTCATAACTAGACAATTGGTCATCTACGATGTTTATGGTGCTCGAGAGGCACTTCACTTAATGAATAGGTATCCGCATAAGCGCTTCTTTTTCTATCTTTTTCCTCGAGAAACTGGCGTACACTTTAGTCTGTTGAAGGTGACGGGGGATCGGTGGCCGAGTGGTCTAGCGCACACCAGCTCGGAGCACGTGGAGCGAAAGCTCGCGCTGCAGAATTCAGGGATCCTGGGTTCGAGCCCCCCACCCCTGCCCGTTTCGATCTGGATGAGCATCGTACCGGCGTGCGGTTGTGTATCACTACTGCGTGATGCACGTTAAAGACCCCAGGCTGGCGGCTGTACCGCACTGGCTAAATTTCTCATCTACAGCTGGGAGACTCGTCGCCCCTGTGAGGCAGACCAAGTTCTAGGCTGTATAAACACACACACAACCCAATTTTTTTTTTCTGTTGAAGGTGAAATAACTGCATTATTTGCCCTATAGTACGAAAGAGTTTCTCAGATTTATGATCGCGCGAAAGTATGCCGTGTTCTCTTAAACCTTCATCTATTTAGCTTTCGTGTTGCTAAATTGGACCCGTGCTATTTTACAGGGAACAGTTGTGTACAGAAAACGATGTGTGGCAGTTTTTAGGCACATACTCCACCGAATATACGATTATATGCACCACGTTTCGTCTACAGTGTTTGTACCTGTGCTATAGAATATTAACCTCTCTCCTCCGCCTTTTTTTTCGTTCCTTCATGTTTCATTTAAATATTGCAACTCACGTAGCTAGTCGAGGTAGGCTGCCATGACTCACCTTTCTTTTCTCCCGCTCTTTCTTCTTTCACGGGATAACTGTGTCAGTGAAAAGCATCGCGGTTTTGTTGATTTCTTTGAAAGCGTCCAGAAAATCAACGCGCAACTAAATACAAATCGTTGCACTTTCTATAGTTTTTATGCCCCTAACTGAAGGATGAGGCGAACACAATTTTGATATTTCATTTCCTGAAATTTGAATGTATACTATAGTGTCCTTATGGAGCTCTTCCCCTATGTATGTGGGGACGTCAACTCGCTCGAGCGTACTTGGCCCATCATGAAAGCATTTTTTTCTTGTCCTTCGTGGGCTGCTGTGAAACTCGCATTGACGTAGATAAAACTGCAAACATTGAATGTTAAAAAAAATCATCATAATAATAATTTTACGCTGCAGCGTGTTATGAGTAGAAATTAATTGTACATATAGCCAACAAGCAACGTAACAACGTAAAAAAAAAATAGCGTTGATCAAATTTTACGTTGCTCGCTCTCCTACCGTTACGATACGGTGCCTGGAACGCGTCTCCGCCTGCTGTGTGTAGCGTCCTATTCTACCCACGTATCGAATGTGGTCCCCAAGTGGCAGCAAATGACGTCATAGAAGCCGGAGTACTGTCATGCTGTCGGATGTCACGATCCTGGCGGTTGGTCGTAGAAAAGCTGGCGCGTGTCGCATGTCGTCGCGGCGTCCCATCTCCCGGCTGCCGCGAAGCTTCTGCGGACCGTTGAGATGGAGAGTAACCTGCAGCGGAGCAGCAGACGTGTCCATATCCACCACCGCTGCTGGGACACCGCCAGGATGGCGGCCGGCGACAGCGTGTCATTGGTATGATGTCAGCAAGCAAAAATCCAAAGACCACTTTTCTTTTCTTCTTTTTTTTTTTTTGGGAAGGGGGGGGGGAGGGGGGGTCTCTGCAAACGCATTAATCAGAGACGCGTTCCAGGCACCATACTCGCAGCTTAAGAACTGCAGGGCTTGGCTTATTACGTTTGCGCTCCTTACTTTGTGATCGGTTCTTCGACGTTTTTAACGGCGAATGCCGCAACCCCATTGACTAAGCGGCTATTATAAAATTCTCGGGACTCGTCATGCCACGCGATTCTTGAGCTGTCAGGGACCCTAGCGAGCTTTCCAACGAAAAAAACCAATTGATAAAGCTGATGAGGATATTTTAAAGGACGTCTAATTGTCGGTGTCACGATGGCGTTCTTCTAACAGTTGTTGCGCGGCAATACACCATCGGACGTTAGGGTTTCCTGAACCGCGAAGATTCCGGCGCCCATTGTGTCGGGCTTTGTACCTGACAGCTAGCTGATTCGGCCATCCATCAGTTTCGCGACGACCCGCGACGTCCTCATAATTAGTTTCTGACTCGGGCGAGTGCAAAGCGTCGAGGAAATTGCGAAACCGAAAAGTGTGGGGTCATGAAAACTTGCGAAGAGTGCGCGCTCGCACATCTTTTTACGTCATCCCAGCGTCCCAATGCGGTAGGAAATTCGATACAGTGATTACTCCGCTCCTCAGCTGCTATGGGCCCAGAAACAGGCTAAGGGGGTACCTCAATTAGCTTCACGCAGCGACCATTGCCTCAAAACGATATTAGAAAAGGGCGATGATTGAGTAATGTTTAGTAGTTATTTTCTCGTGCATTTTGATTTGAAGCCTGGATAGGCTGAATTATATACACTCATCAACCCCATGGCCTCGGAAGAGGTATTCGGCGGAGAATAGTGAGACGTTGAGATTAGGTTCTTGCTAATGAAACAAACATTTAGTACCGTATTTACTCGAGTAATAGCCGCACTGTTTATGAAGGAAACCTGAGGGTTCGCTTTTCCGTGGAGCACGCGAATCGCCAATCACCGGAATCGACAGAATGATTCCAGCGGTTTACAGGACAGAGATAACGTCTTCGCGCGAAGATACCACCTGTGAAGATTGCATTTGTATGGAGAATCGTGTTCTCGATCTAATTATTCGCTATGTAGTTTATGCGCAACGCGATGATTGGCTGTATATGTGCTTTGCGGGAAAGCAGACGCAAGGGCCTTGTTCATACACTCTAAAAAGTGTCTGTGCTTCTACTTTCCCGCACAACACTCGGAGAGCCAATCACCGCAACTTACGGAGGCAGCTCAGCGAATGACGATGCGGAAACATATGTTTAGACCAAAAAATACAGTCTGAGTTGGGACATTAAGCAATGCAAAACGTCACGCTTGCATTGCTTAATGTCACAACTCATACTGTGTTTTTTGGTCTAAACATATGTTTCGGCATCGTCATTCGCTGAGCTGCCTCCGTACGTTGCACTGATTGGCTCTCCGAGGGATTTGCGGGAAAGTAGAGGCACATACTTTTTTTTAGAGTGCAAATAGTGCGGCTATTAATCGAGTAAATACGGTATGCACGTTTTGGTGCTCCTTTGAGATTGTAAAATGCCGTGTAAACAGTAAGGGAGTATTTATAGAGAATATCGTGAAATCAGGGGCTGATTATACTCTAGTATTTCTCTTCCTTTAACATATTTTATTATTTTTCTTCATTGTACTAATACTATTCAGTCATTATTCCCATTTACCCAAACCCAAAACGCCGCTGCGAGTTTTTGGCACACCCTTCAGAAACACCCCCGTGCAAACTTTAGAGGCCTCTCTCGCACCAACCTTGGTCTGCACTGCAGAGATCAACTCTTGTGGCCGAGGCTTGTCAGAACCTACAGAGGCTTAGCCAGGAAAGCCTCCTGGTTTCGCGCCACTACAGATATTTTGTACGCAGCACAACACGGAACGCTTATTAAGCGCACGTGCAGTAAATATTGAGAAATCATCAAGCATCATCTGGACATATTATAAATGGCAACGAGTGGTCAGTCGCGCGGTTAGCATCCAATAAGGAAGCTTTGCAGCAGCTGTGCATGGATGCCGCCATAAGCAATCTTTATTTTTTTTTTTCTCTTATTACGTTTACTTCACTTTATCGTGACCATGGTAGGGCAGGTTATTCTCCCAAGCATTTGCCCTTGTGGAAGCTCGTCAACGCCCGCTTCACTGGTTCGGCATCTGGGTAAGACTGGAAAAGGTGAGCAATGGCGGCTGTAATCTGGCTCGTGCGCAAAGCGTCTATAGCAACTCACAGCTTAAGAAACACGGGTCACGGCGACTCCCGAATACCTTATTATCACACCGCAGTTAATGGGATTGCGGCATTAGCCGAAAATAACACACAGTCACAAAAAGAACGGAATGGGGAAGTTAGAATGATTAACATAATAGGCCACACCCTTCGTTTCTGAAGCTGTCAGTGACGGGATAGAGGCGTAGATTAGGGTGCTGCTTCGAGTCGTAGCTGGAACACTCCGTAGCTCGTACCGGAACTACTGGATGCACACTAATTGCTACGCAGTTACGGCATTCGGATTTCTTTTTCTATGTACCAGCGTGATAACGAGCCGAACAATTACGGTAATATGCAAAATGCAGTAAGTCACATTGTTAGTAAACCTTCTGACTGCTACTTACTCGCACATACTACCTGATATAGTGACCTGCTAAAACACTTAATTTTCATCAGGCCATTCAAGGTTGCAACGTGCTGCCCGATATTTCCCACTGTTCGCTGATTTCTTGATGAAATAATATGTTACTATTGTGAACTTGACTGTTTATCTAGTTGTATTGTTAGTTGCTATTGTTTTGTGCAGTTTGTTAGTCTGTAATTTCTAACGTCGCCCCAACTATGAAAGGGTCAAAAAAACAAAAAAACATTTGTGACCGGCGTGACTGCCGCAGCCGGATGTCGGAAGCAATTCAATATTTGCAGCGACTATGATTGCGGTATCTGGAACGATCACAGCACCGCTGCTTTGACCAAAACCCCGAATGTAGCCTCGGTAAATAAATAAGAACAGAATACAATTTCCAAAGACTCATCGTGCCTGACGGACCACATTATAGGCCTTCGGGATCTCAACAACGAACAAAACAAAGAGGACCAGAAGCGGAAACGTAACTACCCGGACTGTTCGTTTCTCAAGTCACGTCTTTTGCCTTCTCGACACAGAGAGCATTCTCTTCACCACACGCACATTTTTCCTTCAAGGTCATTGAAGTTCACGGAACTCGAATGGCTGTAGAGATAGCAATTACGCTCCCTCCTTCGCTTACTTTATCCCTTTTCTTTTTCCTCGAGTAGCGTGTATGATGAAGTAACTCGTAATTAGACTCTTACGCGTACACGCTTCTAGAAGGGGGTGTCCTTGTGTTCGGTGGGAAGACGAACTGACCATCTGTCACTTTTGCTCGTTTTGGAAATTTTTCTCTAGCCCAGTTCAGCGTTTGCAGGCTAAGCGCTAGCTTGTTTTTCGCGTCTTCCCGCTACTTTTGCGTCCATCTCAAACCAACAAACAAAGCAAACAGCCAAGTCTGCGGCGTCGGATACTCCTCCTAGACATGCGGTTCAAGGACGGAGAGTGTTGGAGGAGGCACCATCTTTAAGAGGTTTAGGGACCGAGGTCTTGATGTGGGAAAGGGGCAAGTTAAATTGAAACAACAGCAACTCAAGAGGGTATAGACATTTGGGTCACAGCCCTCTTAGAAGCGTTCGTACACTGACATGGTGGGGACGTAAATTAAGGCGACAAAGCGGCTCGACAGAGGAGTCTCTTTGTGCTGGAGTCGCCCCCTTTTCGGGTGACGGAAGGCAGTTGGCAGACGAAAGCGGGGACATCAAAGCAGAGAGATTGAGAATGACGCGACAGAAGCAAAGACTCAAAGCCGGCTAATTACAATGCGGTTGACCAGCGACCCTGGTTGAAAGAAAGATACAAGAAAGCTGACACGATTGGAAGGCAAGTGGCTTACCCAACACCTCATATAAGTAACCGAGCAGCAAGTGCTGAGTTTTAGGTGCCATCTAAAGAGGGCCAACGCAGGGGACTGATCGGGCATGAGTGCGGCTTCATTGTTCGACTGTGACGCGTGTCCAATCAGTGAGAACAAGAATTCCAAGCGATCGGCACTGCTGTCCAATCTTTGTTCATGTTGGCCTTTGCGCGACGTCAAAGATTTAGCACCACGGCCTTCTTATCTCCGGGAGCTAGAAAACGTAATTGACTGGACTCTGGAGACTTCGTCAAAAGAGCGGTGCCTCCTTACTGAGCGCAATGTTTCGAAGGACTGTTCATCAGAAAATGTGAAATCGCATAAAGAGCTAAACCGACCTGCAGCGGCTGTTCCCAGTCGCGGCAGCAACGCCTATATATACCTCTATTGGTTCCTTAAAGTTTGGGCAGAATGTTCTCTTTTCTGAATTATCAGCGAAATTGCGTTTACATTACGCGACCCAAGAAATACAAGACGGAGATTTTTAAGAAAATGAAATGTTTTACCGTCTTTAGCTCGCTGGTTTTGATTATGCGTACACTTGTACAGCATGATATCCAGTACTATATAGTAAACGGCAGCCCATATTCTTCGTTACTACAAAAATACATATGGCACCTTTCGCGACGTCACTTGTCGGTTAAAAAGGTTTGCGCCGAGTGGCAAAATAAAAAATATGCACCCCAACACCGTCGCTCCGGTAATGTACGACGTAATATTTTGCTCAGCGGCTCCCACGAAGCAAAAACAACAAACACGGAATAAAGTAGTGCGAGATCACGCACTCGTAGGGGACCTTTTGTCATAGTTACCCGGTGCCACGCAAGCTGCCCGAGCGAGTAAAACAGTCTCCGGGAAACATCTCCGACTGCGTGACGGGCGTGATTAGCCGCGCTTTGTTTTCCCGCTGCCCTGAAAGTCGTCCTCTCTCTCTTCCTTCTCCCGGGTCACGCACTTGATCCTTGATATGCGGACGGACCGTTAATGTTCCACAGCCACGGCCACCGACAGCTGCAGGGGGAAGCCGGTAGATGTCGCCCTGTGGGGGGAAACGACTGTCACGAGTGTGCAGCATAAAGCTTCGGCCACACTACTAATATGTTATACGAAAGAAAGTCCACGGACACTGTCGGATGTGCGCTTTTTTTCTTGCTCGACGGTCTTGCCACATTAGTCATAATAGACTGTCCGCAGACATGTCTGAATCACGCGTATATCGTATGTCTGAACTGAAGTAAACACGATTTGACCATACGTGAGGCTTGTCCGCGGATATTTTTGTTATCATATCCGCAGAGAACTCCGTGTCTTATTGTACGATGTACGAGCAGTGGGTACCGGAAAAAAAAAAAATGTTCCCGGAGTCAATGTCCCCGGGAGAATATCCCCGGAATGAATGGCCCCGAGTGGAACGTAGGAAAAAATGGCCCCAAGAAGTAGCGAGAAAAAATATTTCACCCGGAACCCACTTGAAACAAACTTTCCCCCAACAAAGTAATTGCATTATTCTATAAAATGCTGCGATTATTATTATTTTTTAATGAAAATAAACAGGATGATGCACTTGAACAAACTGACGTGAAACGTAGAATGGAGGGTTTGAAAGCGTTTTCGGTCACGGCCATGAGCCATCAGCACAGTGTGGAAGGCCAGCGACGGCCTATGCTTCCCGAGGTATCGACCGTATCGATAAAGATGGGCGAGGAGTCAGGACCCAGTCGGCGCTCCTCCCAAGAAGAGGAGCAAGTTATCAATGAAAAAACTGTGAGTGCGCAGGCGAGCTGGTGGATGTTGATCATAATGTAGAAAACCCGAGACTGTGGTAAAAGCAGGGAAACGGTGTCGGAGAAGAAAGACAGAAAAAAAAAAACGTCTCATTTTTTTTTTTTTACATTTTTTTTGTGCTCTACCAATCTATCGTTTACACACTTTGCCGTTTGTCCCACATACTTGAAACCGCATTCCAGTGGTATTTCATAGATCACCTCTTCCTTGCAATCAACCGACCTATCTCGGTGCGTTTTCTGACACACTTTCTGACTCGTCTGAAACGGAGTCAAACGATTCAGCTTAAAGTCGGACTTAAACGCTACATCTAACCCAAATTTCTTTGCGCATGCTTTAAGGTTATGAGAAATTGCGTGATAATATGGAATAACCACATAATGCCTTTTTGCTTCCTTTTCTGGTCGTTGCTTAGCCTTTTGCTGTAATTCCAATTGTCTTTTTATGAACACACTGTCATAGCCTGCATCTTCTAACCTTGACCACTGCCTTTCTACCGCACAACCGATAAAATGAGCACACGACTTTTCCAGTGCGTTGCTGATTAGAGATCTGACTACACCTGCTTTTACTGATTTAGCATGACAACTTTTCCTACTCAAAACGGGTTTTGCGGTCATTTTTCCGTACTCCCAACATAAACCCCCCTCCACGTGAATGCGTAAGTCTAAAAATTGTAAAATACCATTGTCCGCCTTTTCTAAAGTGAACTTAAGTTCCGCCGCCGCTCCCCTCACTGTCCGTTCCAACTCGAGTATATCGTCTTCGCGAAATGTGCAAATGAATATGTCATCGACGTATCTCGTTACAAAGCCTGTGCTCGATGAAATACAATTCAATTTATCCGTTACGGCAGCATCCATGTTGTTAAGGTATATTTCTGCTAGCATTGGAGCGACCGATGAACCTATACATACGCCATCTCTTTGTACGAATTTGCGTTCATTGTACTCGACTACCGTTGCCTGGAGATACAGATCCAGAATTGACAAAATACTATCCACCGTTATTCCTAAGTTGGATTGAAAATGAACCAAATTTAATTCCAAAGCTTCACGAACCCTCTGCATTAGACGTGCCTTGTCTAGCGAATAATATAAGTCCTTTATGTCCATGGAGACTACCGAACATCTCTTTCCATGAATTCCTTCCAGGATACTGATCAATTAATTCGAATTTTTAAGGGCGAGGCTTTTTTCTAGCTGCACAAGATTCAACCCTTGTTGAAGAAATCGCGAGATGGTGTGCTGCCACGTTCCATTCTCGTTCACCACTACACAAAAGGGCATGTCTACTTTGTGATCTTTCAGAAAAAAACTTTACACTTAACGTCATTCCTGCTTGGTTCGTAACCTTTTCTGCCAGTGCGTCTAACCCATCTTCCTTTAAAACCGTTTCTTTTCGCCATTCAGCGAAAAGAAAACTCAAAGCGTCAGGCGATTTTCTTTCGAACATTGTCGACGGAAGGATAGCGAACTTGCCGGACTTATCTGTCTGTATCAGTTTAAGCGAACCTCTTTCTAATACTCTAACTGAAACCACGCCTCGGAAATTCCTTCGTTCTGCTGGATAAGACTTATCTAGAAGACGTTCTATTCTATCAACCGCCTGATCTACAAATGCTACTCTCTCGTCAAAATTGATCACCTTCGAAATGTCCTGAATCGAGGAAAAAACATCCAACCTCGAAGGTTTAACGTTCAAGCAAAACTTTGGGCCTTTGCTTAACAACTGCTCCGTTCCGTCCGAGATGCCCACATTACAAGGATTAACTATGCTACTTTAGAATTGTTCGTCACGTGACCCGAACTTGGTTTGCTTTCACTTCTCCTTTCTCTGGTATTCGTACTCTTAAAACTGTCTAATACAATTCGTCGCTTCACATACCACAGCCGCTCGAAGAGTTCCTTTTTTCCCGAGTTCCAGCGTAGATAGTCCGGGTGGTGCCTGTAATCCTTGCCTCTGAGGAGTGTCCAGATGCGATCACAGGCCTTGCGGAGGTTTTCTATTCTTCTACTTGTTCCTTCTCTGTAGACCTTGATTATCTTCTTTTTGGCGCTCTAACCAAACCCCGTAGATGAAAGATGCTTGAACCGGACCGGATCGACGTAGCGTTTCCTCAAGCAAATGCCGAAGAAGGCGACCTCTGCTTCAAGCTCGGCTAGACGGCGTCCCAGGTTGTCCAACACATTGAAGGCTTGAAGAAGTAACTTTGTTGGTTGCGGGTAGCCTGTGGGTCCATAGGAAAATGGAAATAAGCCTGCTTCCGGAATTGTCAATGAAAAAACTGAGTGGGCAGGCGAGCTGGTGGATGTTGATCATAATGTAGAAAACCCGAGACTGTGGTAAAAGCAGGGAAACGGTGTCGGAGAAGAAAGACAGGGGAAAAGTTCTTTTCCCCTGTCTTCCTTCTCCGACACCGTTTGAAAACCCGAGACTGTGGTAAAAGCAGGGAAACGGTGTCGGAGAAGAAAGACAGGGGAAAAGTTCTTTTCCCCTGTCTTCCTTCTCCGGCACCGTTTCCCTGCTTTTACCACAGTCTCGGGTTTTCTACATTATGATCAGCAAGTTATCGCTTGTCGAAAAGCAACGCCGTCTCAAAAACATCCGGGAGGTTTTTGCTACTGAAATGACGTCAGTTAGTTAAGGACTTCCTGCGAGCAGTTGGCCATACTATTTGATCCTAATGTTTCTGGAAGTATGGAAATGTTCACGTCAGTGGGTTGAAGTGCGTCTCCTACTTTGTATTTATTTAAAATTAAAAACAAAAGGCCAGAACTTCGAACTATAATGTGATTACAGTTTGGTGAGAACTTTGCGAGGTTATTATTCCCCATTTCAAAATGGTTTCCATGGAAAATATTTTTTTTTTACCACATTTGGGCCATTTTTTCCTACTTTCCACCTAAGGCCATTTCTTCCAGGCCATTTTTTTTTCGGGGACTTTTCTTTCGGGGACATTTATTCCGGGAACATCTTTTCCCGGGGACATTGTTTCCGGTACCCACTGCGCATACATCGTACAAAAAAAACAAAAAAAACAACAAAAAAAAACGGACGCCCAACGGGGCTGACCAACTTCTCCCTGCCTACGCGTTCACACACGCACAATGGACCTTTTCCACATACCGACGGCACCAGGCGGTGGCTCCACGAACTAAAAATTGAGGAAGTGATCTACCTGCGCTACCAATCGATAATGGGAGTTGCGCTACCAGTTTCTTCGCTCTCTGAGCTGCGACGCGTGCCCACCGCGACTTTAAAGAGGGGAAAGAAAAACACGACCCAAAAGTCGTGTTTTTCTTTCCGTCCACTTTCTTTTTTTGTGAAACACAATTATATATATGCTGCAATTACGTGTTCTACTCGCTGATCAACAGCCTCCTTCCGAATTTCCTCGATTTTTCGTACCGACTTCCGCCGCTTGGCATCGGGCGTTTGCGCGTGCGCAGAACGCTTCTCAGAAAAGGTCCATTACCTTTTTTTTTTTTTTTATTACAAAGTAGCAATAACTAAAAATTCACACTTTGTTTACCATTTTTTTAGACCACCTGAGACTGGGTGGAAGAAACACGACGACGTCTCAAACACAGCTCATTTTGTTATCGGACATCATTGCGTCTGGCTTCAGACAGTGTTCAGTTCTCATTCAAGGGGTCCTTCGTCGGCATCGAAGGGCGCCATAACAGAAACGGCGCGGTCGCTCTGTGGAGAAGCTGTATAGAAGGAGGATACGCGGGAGCTGTTTTGTCTGCGGTTACGAGAGACGCCGATCCGCTTCAATAGTCGTATATGATACGCTTCCGCGCGCTGCGGCGTCTTTGATTGTGGCGAACGCTCCCTCGCAACAATACAATGATTCGGAAGCTCGACAAACCGTGCATCTTCCAGATCGATGCCCACATCCAGGTCGCGCATAAAAAGGTTCGCGTGTTACCTAGATAGTCTATAATGCCACGTGCGAAAGCTTTGGCCCACGCTTCTTTGCAATGTATGATCAAAACGTGCTGATTATAGTCACTGCCAAGGAGTGGGAACGGCAGGGCGCCTCCTTCAGACGCCTGACCTCCATCACTCGCTTGTTGCCTTGTACTGTGCTTTGGCTGCACGCGCACGCTCGTGGCTTACGAGACTTCGAAGCGTCATCGAAACAGAGACGTACGTAACACGTTGTTACTAACGAGTTGCCTCTACTGCTTTGTTCGGTAACGAGTAACCTATTAAAATACTTTTTTTTTTTTTAGGAAAGGAACGAGTAACGTACTTAGTTACTTTTGAGGAGTAATGTGTAAAACATACTTTAAACAGCCTCCTTTGAATTCCAACCCGAGTATCCGTCTGTTGCTGTAAAATCGGATGGGCAACCCGAAAAATAAATGAACAGTACGAAAGTCAGCCGAACTCTACAGCTGGGAATATGTCCTTCATCCAGCGAACACAATAGAACACGTTAATTGAACCTTCTAAAAAAAAATCTTCTGCTTGTATGTTTATAAGACCATGATGCTAGTACGCCTTAGCGGGTGATCTTCTCTTAGTTGTAGATGAGGAATTTAGCCAGTGCAGCACAACCGCCGACCCGGGATTTTTAACCTCATTTAGATCGAAACGGGCGAAGGGGGGGCGGGGGGGGGGGGGGGGGGGTTCGAACCCAGGAGGTTCTGCAGCGCAAGCTGTCGCTCCACGCTCCGATTTGAGATGCGTTAGCCCACTTGGCCGCCGATCCTCCTCATTTGAACCTTGTAGAATTGTGTACGGACCGAATGTAAACCCGGAAATCGCGAACACGGCCAAGGCACTGAACCCACTGTCAACATCAAACTCTAGAAGCAGAGAGAACAAAAGCGAGAAGGGAATCCCAGACTAGGGCACACTCAAGGGGACTTTAAGGGGGCGGATTACCCGAACAAGACAACTGTTTGTTATTTTTGTGTTCTCGGTTCCTCCTTGTGCCGGTCGGGTACCCCCGCTGTCCACAATCAAGGTTCAGTTCTCGAAGATTCACCAGTTCTTCCTGAAACACAACGCTGCCGGTCCTTCGAGGGCGTCAGTAGCACGACCCCTCAGCGTCACCGGAGATGCGGTGAAAACTTCGAGGGACAGCTACTGCTTAAAACGACTACTGAAAAGAAAACGATGAACCATGAAACAACAGCAGTTGTGTATTTGGTCATCGAAGTTACGAGAAAAGGAACTAGTTACATCTGAGGTTAGGTAACACGTTCCTTATGAGAGTCGGCAACGAGTAACGTATTTAGTGGATTTTTGAGCAAGTAACCAGTTACGATATTTAGTTACTTTTTTTGGGAGTAACTTGTACGTGTCTGCATCGAAGGTAGGAAGATCGCGCTCAACTGGAACTCTTCCGGGCCGTCCTCATCCTGTGACTTATAGTATAGATGGTTTAGACAGTACGAGGTGCCTTGCAATTTTGTCCAGTCTTTTATCTGTACATATAGGTGATGTAGCCAAGCCAGCGAGGGACGACCGCTAATCTGTTACTGAAGAGAAGGCTTACTCTTGATTTTCTTGTGTGTTATTATTTGCAGAATTTCGGTTACCGCCGAAGCGTCTGACCGTCGTGAAACAAAATTTGGCTGGGTCACAGTCTGTCCCACCGCAAATGCATGTGGTACCGACTTTGCTTCTGAAAACCGAGTTTGTACGAGGGTACGTATGGATGCGGTGTAATAAGTAGGCGTCAAGTAAGAGCAGTTGTTTTCATTTACGAACGAACTTGCTTATTTTTTTGAAGAAAACCGAAGTGGGAAATGTATTCGAACAGACTCATGGATAAGAAAAACAAATAACATATAAGATAATGAATAATGCATAAAGTTGTAAGTACGTTCGTGTATGTCCAGAAAAGGTAAGAGAGCAAAATTAACAACAAAACGGTATTGTTTTATTGTGATTGGTATAAACGTAGTGACTAAAAAATAATATTGATTCAGTTTAGATAGATAGAGTTGCATACCAACATTAGGATATAATACATAAGGACGCAGATATCAAACGTCGACTAACCAATTTACGAACTCATATGCAGCAGCAGTGAAGAAACGAAACATTGAAAGGAACACACCTCTCCATTCGAAAAATCTCAACGTATTCTTTGCCGAAATACAAAAAAAAAAAAAAAAAACACACACACACACATGTTTATTTGCCAACTTTCAATGTATGTTTGCAAAACTAGGCATCTTCTTTTGAGTCGAACTACATATTGTACCTAACAAAAACACTCCGTTCTCTTGACGTTTGCATTAAACGATAACAGCGCACGACCTTGATCGTCACGATTCGTGATTCATGCCGCTTTACAGGTTCCACTGTGGTAAATCAACACTCAAGTATATAACTACATAAACGAACGGAATGAAACCGATAATCCCCCGGTCCCCGACCATCACGATTTTGGTCAGCCGCCCTTGGAGCTGAAGTGAGTGCAACGAACCGCGATTTGAGGCGGAAATTTTCGTAGCCGGCGATTTCCCCGAGGCGAATATCGCATCAAATTGGTTCTGCCAAGTCGCGCTGGCCCCAGAGAGTCTCCATTTAAGAGAGGGAGCAACTCGAAACGTGTAGAGCATTTGCAATTTAATGGCGGATGCCACCTACGCAGATTGGTGGCGAGTGTTTATGCGTTGCGTTGTAGCGTGGCTAAGAAGAAAGCGGGCGGGAAGGTTTGCAGACGATCAACGTTTTCGTCACATCCTCGCAACTTGTATAGGCCTGTTTCTCTCGGCCAGGGAGCGCTGCAGCGTCTACGAGGCGCGACCATTTCATGCTGACGTGAAGCGGCGTCCTAGTGTCCCACCATGCACGATCCATGGGCATAACTAGCGCCTGTCAGCGTCCCTCAGCGTCAAGCCGTGGGCATTGATGAAGAGTTTGAAAGGCCACAGCGCGACGCACAACGGAAGCGCGACCTAAATATCTCCGATTTTCGCTCGCCAGAGGGTGCTGCTCAAAACTTGAGAGCTTCAGGTCCATTGAAAACGCGGGCCATATAAACTACAAGACATCGATCTAGCAGCTGAAGTTTTTTTTTTTAAACACTCTGTAATCTAGGCACACTGTTCGCCCAGCATCCAACGGCTGTTCTCTCCGCGTTCCGGCCGGGACCCCCTACCACGGCGTGCATCTAAATTTGAATTAAACGTCAAGTGCATGGCTGATCCCTCCTTGGGCGGAATCGCTTCGTTCCACTGCTCTTCGCGAGACGTGGAGCCAAGAATGCGCAAGTCACGGCGGGTTTAGATCGCCTCGCGGTTCACGATATCATGAGGGCGTGAGCGGGGAGGGCGTTGTCCCCCCGCAAATCACCGTGAGAGGCGGTGAGCACAGCTCCGATTTCGAGACTTTGCGCACCCGCCACGCAAAAGAGTAGGATTATTGAAGCACCATAACGGGCCTATACTCTGTTTGCATTGTGCGTTCGCTATCGCCGACTTAACACCAATCGCGCACAGAAAGTAGCACAGGATCACTCTGCGTTCGCTGTGCGTGATTCGTATAGCCGGTGATAACAAACCCGTAAACACCACACGAGCGCCATGACTATCTACTTTTGGTGCCGCTGGCTTGGCTATACGTTGAATCGTAGTGTTGGCTACGATCAACCTTAATGTGAAACGGAGTGAAAAGTCAACGGACAGAAGAAACGATACATCGAAGAACAATAAAGCTGGCACCAGCCGACATATAAAGATAAACGTACGGCAATATTCCGAAAGAACGCCCATCCATAGTGGGGAGGTAAGCATGTAAAAATGCGAGGCGAACAATCCTTAAAAGAAAAATCTTTTTTTTTTTTGTGATGTTGGGGAAATTATCCATGTAACGAACTTACAAAAAAGTTAATACCCTAGGTTTTTTTCCGCGTTGGCCAAATGAATCGAACACATTTGCATAAACCACATTAATTGGTTTAGACAAGCATTACTCAGTGGTCCCGCAAAGTTACTACTATATTTGTATGGTGCCGTTGTTTGAAATCATTTGGGAATATATTCTGCCCCATTTAAATGCTGGCAAAAAATGTACTGGTTTCACTTCTATGAGTTTATTTTATCATATATCAAAGTGGCAAACTTTGTCAAGGAGATCGTTGTAGAACGATTAAACGGTGGCATCGAACTGCAGTAACCTGTGACATGCATTAACTGTTATAAAATGATTGATTGATTTATTGATTGCTTGCTTGCTTGATTGATTGATTGATTGATTTAAAGAAGAGCACACAAGCGCCAAAATCGGGATCCTTACTTCTTTAAATCAAGTTCACGAGTGGAAATGTTTTTCACTTTGAAATGTACAAAACATCATTTTATAAATATAGCTATGTGGTTTTATGAGGTAGGTTTTAATTGTGTCGGGTGTATGTTTAGATAGCCGGAAGTTGGTCGGTCTCAATGAGCGTCTCAGCTGTAGATTAGAAATTTAGCGAGTGCAGAAGCGCTAACCTGAGGTTTTTGACGTGCGCCACGCGGTAGTAACACAGGACGGCACGCCGGTACGGTGTTCATCTACAGCTCAGATCACTGTCAGTGAATCGAAGATTCCTGAAGGTTTCTAAAGTGAGCAGACATGAGGGACCCCGTGTGACTGCACGTATTTAAAACTCGAAGACATGCCCAATCAACAAACACCTTTCTGCTTTTTTACAGTTTGTAATTGCATATAAAAAAGTTAATTTTCCGAGCTCCTCGATGAGTTTTTCGCTACACTGCGAAGCTCAGCTCTTGTCTTTTTACTTTCAGCCACGGCCATAAACTCAAGTCTCCGAGTGCCAAGACAAGACAGCACACCGCGTAGGAACAACATTCACACCAGGAGTTGCTGAGAAGGGTGCTTCAAGAGGCTTCAACTGCCACGATGTAATCAGGAGGTCAGCATTATCTGCATAACATTGTCATTATATGACTAAATGCATAGTCAATAAAAGCATATCAAACTGTCAGAACCTAATGTTCATATATTACACACGAAACGTACGTGTTATAAAACGTTTTTTAAAACAAGATTTGCAGACATGAAATGCGTATTTAAAAACACTGTACTAGTATATCGGTACATTATAAATTAGTATTTAGATATCTGCAATAGAAATATCTTGATATCACGGTACCTTTAACTGTATTTTAAGTACATTTTGAAAGCGACTTTTACGGTTCTAATCTGGAGCAACTGTCGTTCGACGTGCCTGCCTTTATCTGAGAGCGATAAACCACTCGCAACGGCCGTTATCCCAACTTCGTGATAAGAGCAACAGGGGCGACACCTGTGGGCCTTTGTCGGTTTCGATCCTTCTCAACTGTGACTCCCGTCGAAGCGGTCGAGTTCGCAGTGAGCTCCCGCCATGTTTGACTTGCTGGGCTCGTTGAAGGCATACTTCACCACCAAGTATGTCATCATCGACAACTTAATGTGCCGCCTGCACCACAAGGCATCGGTGGGAATCCTCTTGGCCTTCAGTATCCTCGTGACTGGCAAGCAGTACGTGGGAGACCCCATCGACTGTATCAGCAAAGATGCTATTCCGGGAAACCTGCTGGACACCTACTGTTGGATTCACAAGACCTTCAGCGTCCCGAGTGCCTGGAAAGGAAAGCTGGGCGACGAAGTGGCCTATCCCGGAGTGGCGCCATTTGTTCCAGGAGAGCAAGTTGTGTACCACACGTACTACCAGTGGGTCTGTTTCGTCCTCTTCCTGCAGGCTCTCTTCTTTTACATACCGAGGTACATCTGGAAGACGCTGGAAGGTAGGCGGATTATAAACCTAACCGATCATCTCTCCTCCCCGATGCAGGAAGAGAATACCTTAGTAAAGTCTAGGGAGATGCTCGTTCGCTACCTGACGTACAACAGGAACCAGCACATGATGTACTTTACCGGATTCGTGTTCACGGAAGTCCTCTACCTGGTCAACGTCATCTCCCAGATATTCATCATGGATCGGTTCTTGGGCGGAGAATTTTCGAGGTACGGCTTGGAAGTGCTTCAGTTTACAGAATGGCACTGGGAGGCGAGGTATGATCCCATGATCAAGGTGTTCCCCAGGATGACCAAGTGCACGTTCCGAATGTTTGGTACGTCGGGAGACCTGCAGAAGCACGACGCCGTCTGTGTCCTCCCCATCAACATCATCAACGAAAAAGTCTACGTGTTTCTGTGGTTCTGGTTCGTCATCCTCTCTGTCATTACGGCCGTGTTTCTCGTCTATCGAGTGGCGACGATCGCTCTACCATCACTTAGATATCACGTCATGTACAGCAAAAACAGGGCCGTCGAATCCGAAGAGCTGCGACGTATTATCGACAACGTCGGTGTCGGGGATTGGTTTATCTTTTACCAGATCAGCAAGAACATCGACCAGAGCAACATGAAGGACCTGGTTGTAGAGTACTCACGTGCCCTGGATGGCACAAGTGACACGAAACCGCTTCGAAAATGACTTTACGGCAAGCGTACTTTCCTAACGCTGAATAAGCTTCTGGTCATCACAGCATTGTTCTCAGCCTGCTGCCTCGTGTGAAACTCTAATGCACAAGAAAGGTAAATCTAAACATGAACGAGTGTGTCCACGGTGCTTAGATTGTTTCAACATCAAGCATCTATGAACACTCAACGGAGGCGGGGAGATAGCCGATAGCTCTGTTAATTCCAGATCAGTGCGTGCATACGTTACCATCGCAGTGCTCACTTCGCGGTAGGTTAGCAGCTGCCGGACCAAATCGGTCCTTGACCTATTCCTGGTAGTCGGTGCAAGCAACAGCATCTGTATTAGAAAAGGTCCGTACAATCTTGATTATCGATCATAAATATCCATGCGCTGGCCGTTTACAGGACGTATTTAATTTGATCACCACCTTTAACTAAAGGCTAACGCAGCACTCTTTCTTCTTTCAATAGATTTAACGAATAGCGCCATGATGTTACCACTAAAATTCTCAACGGGTGTTATGATCTCCGATTGAGACTGGGCGCGTTAAGTGAAGACTCCTGATTCGACTTCTTTGATGTTAACTTCATCAACGAAACAAGCAAAAAAGAAAAAGAAAAACGAGTTGCCGATACGGTTTGAATATTGTTACCGAGAAAGTCTTCACTCAACGTATCCGATGTCGCTATACTTACGTTAACTTCAGAGCAAGAGACACCACCCAGTGGAAAAGACGGAATTTTTAGAAACGGGTAGCTCGTCGAAATATCCGGAGAATCTTTTCGCGAACTGGTGGCAAAAATGGGGAACAGAAGGACGGGGATGAGTTGCCGCAGCCACAAACAAAATCTAATGAAACGAGTGATAAAAAGAAAGCGTTACGTGTGGTACGTAAGAGGAGGAAGAGGTGTACGAAGTCCGTTTACAACTACCGACGAAGACTACCGCAAGCAAAATAGCGCCGGCTCCTGTCTTGGTACATCCGGCCTATTCAGCCGGGCAAAGTGCAATATTCCACAGGCACGAGTAAAGTTCGCCGAACCATTTATCTGCTCATGTCGCCAGATGAATAAAAATAAAAAAGCAAGTCAATAAAATATTCAATCTTCCAGTATAAGAAGACGTCGTGAACGGACAAGGCGTTGATCTTTTCGGGTGAGTTGTTAAGCAATCGCTTTCTTTATCTCGGAACTTTAACAAAAGGACTGTGTATATCACTGTAGCAGATATATGTTCACTTCGATGATTTTTCTTTAATTAAGTTACCTCCAAAGTTATTTTTGAAATCTAATGTTGGGGTCGCACATGTGGCATGCCAAAGAATACTAAAACAAAATTTAGGCAAAGCAAATGATTTAATAGAAAACAAATTGTAAAAGAGAAATTCAAGCTACAGTAGATGTCTTATTGGACAAACTTTTCGGGAAGAGACTGACGGCTCTTGCCAACATTGCAAAATCACAAAAATTATTTCCAATGGCGCAACGACGACATCACCAGCCGCGAGCTTTTGTCACGGCGTGGCGCCACCAGATATTGAGGTGTTTCCGCATGGTCGAATTGACATAGGATGCGCTAGGGGTTCGTCGCTACACTTGTTCCCACTGTCGCCCGAATTACGAACGAAGCAAAGGTTACAAAGAGGACAGAAGCTCAGATAACCATTAGAGAGTCCCTTTATGGGGTATTCACACTGGGGATGTTTTTTCGGGGAGAGATGTGCATGATGCCAGTGATCAGCTGAACCAGAGGGGCTCCCTCCCCGACTCAAGCATTCACACGAACGGCGGGGAACCGAGAGGGATGTCAGTGCTATCAGGCGCACTTAGCGGTCACACTCTCGACAACGGGGCTCCGTATACGCGCTGACGAGAGTAGAAAAATGGAGACGTATACATGAAACCGCGGTACGTGATTGTGGCAGCAGCGCTATGAAAAGCAGGAGATGAAGAACTGCTTCTTGCTAGAAAACAAGATGCCTCTTGAATGGGTGGATGCTACACAAAGAATGTGGAGTCCAAAACCACCTGTATGAGAAGCGGCTTGAGGACGGCGTTGATGAATGTCTAAGACTCCTTCGGGTGCCTCAGGCGGCATACGCAAAAGCGCAAGCCACGACAAGTTAGGCGATCGCGATGCCACCCTTTGGGTGTTGAGAAATAAACGAGTAAACGCTTGCCCATGTACCTGTCCCCGTTCGCGTGCCGTGCGATTAGTAGATTCGGCGACTTCTCGTGCGAGTCATGAGAGTTCCTTTGCAAACGTACTAGAGACATGAGTGGAGCTACGGGTTTTATAGGAAACATTTTGATTTCGCGAGCCCTCGTTTGACGAAGGAAGCTTTCCAGCAAAACGGGCTTATACCCATTACCTGCGCCTTTCGCAAGTCCCTTGGCACACAGGAAGGAAACTGTCGAACCTGAGAAACTAATAAATCGCAGAATTCCGACTGCACCAAAACAGTTTTCTCTTCGTAAACGTTCAAAGATAACTTATGTACAGCTATATTGAATAGACGTTACAGTTAGCTGCGATCTAATTATACCTTGTGATATATTTATTATACACGATCTTTAAGTTTAGTTTGAACATACTTCTTTTTTTTTTTTAATGTGGGAGAGTTAGGCGAGTGTCGTCTTCACCATGTACTTATCAGGCTCGGGGAACTTTGAGTGAGGGAATGATCGGCATGGTAGGTTAACTAATTAGCCTAACATTGACTAATTAGCTATTTAATTATTGCTTTTATGTGAACTATGTTGCAATTGAAGTATTGACGGCATTTACTATTAGAGGCAAGACCAGTTAAAAGAATTTGAGAAAATCAAATAGATATTTTGGATATTAATTTATCATTTTCAGGTACTCTTAGCCCGATTTAGATATATGGCGCGCCTCGAGCCCTGTCCAGATAGCGGTTGAAAGAGTGACGCAGTCGTTTCATTCGTGTCGTCACTATTTTGGCAGCGTGGCCTTGGCGGATGTTCCGACGACACAATTAACGACATGACTGAAACTACAACGTCACTCTTCTAAGTGTCATTGTGGGCAGGGTTTGAAGCACCCTTTTTGTGCGCAATTTTTCAGATAAGGCTAAGAAAAACGCGAAAATTGATCAATTAATATTTTTTAAAAAATTATTACATTTTCGGAAATTATTTTAATTGGTTCGACCCTAATAGCATTTGTCGTCAGTACTACAAGTACAACTGCAGCATGACCCTCAAAGCAAATTACTAAAAAGTATATTAACGAAGTTTAGGTAATTAGCCCATTTAACACAACGATTATCCCCTTATCTAATGTCCGCCGTGCTTGGAAGATACATGGTAAAGACGGCACCCGTCTACCTCTCAGCCCTTTTTGCTTAAATCTGTTAGAATTAAAAATGAAACACCCAGCATATTCAGAGCCTTCAAAAAGGTAGACTCATCGGTACGATGGCCATAATAATTAATCGCAATTAAACTCCGTTTCCCTTTAGGTCTGACCTCAGCCAACGCTACAATCCGATGAAGCCAACCAAGCAAAAGATTGCATCGTCACGGCTCTGATCGCCATTGTGCGTTTGCCATATGGACTAAACCAATCACGCAGAGTAAGTACGCCGTGACGATGCACTTTTGACACTCATTGATTGGCTCCATCGGATTGTATCGGCTGAGGTTGGATTTGAGTTCAAACAGAGTATGGATGTCAAACAGCGAGCACGTTTTTAGTGTCGGAAAGCCAGAGCTTGTACCTGGTCGCACAACACTGGAGTACTAATGCAATGCGCTAGGTGGCGCAAGCTACCGCCCGTTACAAAGGGTGTAGCCATCAACATCCATCCATCCATCCATCCTTGTATATTCGCGCAACTCCAACGCCCCATAGATGGCGGGGAGGTGACCGCAAGATGGCGGAAGACGGGGGCATGTGTTTTTCAGGATTTCCCGTGCGCCTGCACGCTGACGCTGCTCAGTGTGCTAAAACTAATTTATTTGGCTGCAAATACAAAACGGTCTGGGCAGGAGCGTAACACGTGTGACGGAGACGTTGACGTGCGTTAAGAAAGTTAACATGTTAATTTCTTAAAAGTGTTGGAGCAGAACAAAACAATCCATATTTTAACGCACTCTTTTTTTTTTTTTTTTTTATAAAACTGCACGATGCACGAACACGCCGACCAGAAGCGTGCGGTAACAGCAGTACCAAGGCCGGTAATCCCTGCCACCGTCTCCACCGCAGCCCCGCTCCTCTGGTTCTTCGTTCGTCCGCGAGAGGGCGAGCGACGGGCTGGAATTGCGAATAAGTTAGCTTCCACCCCTCGTGTTCATGAACGTTGTGTGTAACTGTTGCGCGTACAGCCTGAGCCGCAAACCTTGCGCTGCCTTCCCATACCGCCACTCGAGAAACAGATAAGACAGGCTCTCATTGCATTTGGTTATCTGAATATGACCTAAAAGGACGTGCGTCCATGCCTTTGCGTAGATATCACAAATGGCACGCTGACAAAGTGACTGCCCGCCTATCTGAGCTTTCCGTACGTTTATAGTGTTACTGGTTCCAAGTTCCTTCGGACAAACAAGTAAACAGACACTTCATGTGGCGTGTGCTATAGTGCTGTCACGCGGGAATCAATAAAAAAGAAACTGTTTTGAACTTTATTGTGAGAGCTCTGCTCTATGTAGCACTGTGGAAGGCGCGGACGCGCGAACACGGCTCTTGAGAGTGCTTCGGGTGGACGATGTTTTACGAAATAGGCAGCAAGCGCTGAATTTTCAGGATTCTGGTTGAACCGCGTAGTGCCAATTTATAGGCTCGAATATAAACTTGGATTGAGCGCTTTGGTAATAGCGTCAGAAATACGAAAGAGTTAGACAATGAGGACGGACAGGACAAACGTATTTGTCGTGTCCGGCACCTTTGTCTGACTCTTTCGTATTTTTGAATCAAATATAATTTTTTTTTTCTAAATAGGGTCCAGAATGGCAACAAATGACGACACTGCCTGACTCTGCTTCACAGCGCACAAGATCAGACACACTTAAAAGAAATTTCACGCATACAGAGGAAGAACACTCACGCAGCGCTGTTCTTCCTCTGTATGCGTGAAATTTCTTTTAAGTGTGTCTGATCTTGTGCGCTGTGAAGCAGTATCATGAATAACCAACTCGCCCAAGCTGAAGTTCTGACTGCCTGACTATTCCGGCGGTAAATTTTCCGGGTCTGGGCACCGTCGCCAAGCAGCAATTCTTTCTACCACCTCAACAATAAAAGAATATATATATAAAAAATGATGGAAGACGGTGTTTGCATGCCGAAGGTCAGCGGCGCAGCTTGGCTAATGACAGATATCCATCGAAGCATTTTGCTTAGCTGCGCTTTCTTGGACTGTACCAAACTTGTTGCGACACTGAGACAAAGGAAAGTAGAAATTTGGTAACAAAAAAGTCGCCGTCCTTTACATTCCGTCCGTCAAAAGCACCGGAAGTATGATAGCACTTGACGGGGCTAAGGACGAGAGGCACTATCTATCGACATTTAGTGGACGTATTTCCCCGCCAAATTTAGCGGGGAAATCTAGTGTGACGCTGTGAAGTCACGTGATACTGTGGCGTCACGAATCACCGTGATGTCACGTGACACCTTGCCGTCACGTCACGTGACATTTTGACGTCATACGGCGATAACAACACGAGCAAGAAAGGTCCGTGGAGGTCTCGCGCAGAAGCCGCTTTAAAGAAGGCTCTCCCCGCTCGCATCTTCTAGCCAAGTTCCCAGTGACTTTAGCGTCTTCCAGCCGTGGCACCAGCTGGCGACATTGCCGACGCGACCTTGATCCCCCAAGCAGTTCACGAAATGAACCGCGGGTCCGTTTTGGAAACCATACTCCTGTCGGTCCGAGTCAACTTGGCGGGCCTGAAAAGGAGCCTCATGCAGAAGGCGTGACTTTGTGTCCGCAAGCATGGCCACATCTGGCAGCGCCGCGGGTCTCGCTCGATTAGCCCAGGAAGGTTCCTCTCCCTCCGGACCCCGGCAGCAGCAGCACGCTTCTTTCAGATCCGACCGAGCGACCTCCCGCCTCGGTGGCAACAGCAGCGGGCTCCACTCG